ATTCAAACCGTCGACCTTTTGGTTAGCAGCCGAGCTCTTAACCACTGTGCCATCAGGGCTCCATGGACCTATAAGTCGATATCAGGTGATAAGAAGTGCTAAGAATATAAAGCTGCGTGAGTGGTTAAAGAGTGTTTTGGACATTGGGTAATTCAGGGAAGGCCTTCTGAGAAGGTACCTTTGAGCAAAAATGAGGGAATGAGCAGTGGCGATTGGCAGGGAAAAGTGTGCCAGGCAGAGGGAACAGCCAAGGCAAAAGCTCTGAGGTGGGAGACTATTCGGTGTGTTTGAGGAAGACAGGGAGGCCTTGCATCTGGAGCGGAGTGATGAGGGGGAGAATGGAGATCATGAGGTTAGGAAGGGGATGGGGACAGGTCAGGTGGGGCCTTGCAAGCTATGGAGCAGACTTCTGCTTTTACTGGGAGGGAGATGGACTCACGGGAGTGATCTGAGCAGAGGAGGTGTGTGACCTGACTCAGGCGTTCACAGCTTCCTCGGGCTGCGTGTAGGGAACAGACTGGGAAGGGGGAAGCAAGCAGGGAGACCAGAGAGGAGGCTGCTGCGATGGTCCAGGAGGGAGATGAGAGTGGCCGGGACCAGGGTGGGAGCAGTGGGTGGGATAAGGGGAGATCAGACACGGGAGCTACTTTGCAGGTAGAGCCAACAGGCTTTTTGACCATTTGGAATTCTGGGGACGAGAGAGTTCTCGGAAAGGGAAGAATCCAGAAGGGGCAGAATTCTGCCATTGAAAGCGGGCGCCTGTGGCTGAGGAGGTTGAATGGCGGCCAGGTCTGACTTGCTGCTGCGCTGCCCTCCTCAGTCTGTGCGGACAACAACCACGTGCGGACGTGGTCTGTGACGCGCTTCCGCGGCATGATTTCCACCCAGCCCGGCTCCACCCCGCTCGCTTCCTTCAAGATCCTGGCGCTGGAGTCGGCAGACGGACATGGCGGATGCAGCGCGGGCAATGACATTGGTGTCCACTGGCCCCCAACCCCACTGACCCTGCCTGACCCCTCTCTTACCCTTGACCTCCGTTGATCCCCACCTGACCCCTTTCGGCCTCTACTGACCCACCCAACTAACCTGGTTGACCCCCACTGACCTCTGCCTAGACCCCATCCCCATTGACTGCCTTCTGACCCATGACCCCACTACATTGACCTGCCCCTGATCCCTGATGTTTCCGAACTCCAATGACTGTTGCTGACCCCCACCCCTCACTGGTCCAGGCCCCTACGGCGAGCGGGATGAGCAGCAAGTGTTCGTTCAGAAGGTGGTGCCCAGCGCCAGCCAGCTCTTCGTGCGTCTCTCGTCCACTGGGCAGCGGTGAGGACTGTCCCGTCAGACAGGGAGTGGGACCAGAGGAGAAGGCCAGACTCCGGCTGGATGTGGTCACTGAGGCTTGAAGGGGGCCCCAGCCAGGGGGCACTGAAGGGCAAAGGCTGGGAGGGAGAACAGGCCTGTAGGTTTGGGGGCTGGAGGTATCAAAGATGTGACATATACAGGTGGGAGTGGAGCTGGAGAGACCCTAGCTTCCTATACTGGACTTCAAACAGAGATAGCCCATCGTGGTCAGGGCTGGGACGGGGGAGGCACAGGTGGAGGGGTC